GTACGTTTGGATCCCACCCGACAACCTTGCTGAAGTCTCTGTCCGACTGGTTTCCCGCTAGGCATGGTGCCACCTGACGGTGTATAGTATCAGTACATACCAGCAATAGCAGATATACCCGCTAGGTTACTCATGTCGCATAATGTTGGTGCTTCAAATTTGTTCTTCTTGGAGGGAGGTGCGGAGTCCGCACCTCCTATGGAAGATGTATTTCGTGGCACAAAAATACTATCCTCCAAGCACGTACCGCAATAGCAGTCGGTTCCGCTAAGGGACGCATGCGCACTGTGTGCGGTTGCGTGTAGACGTGATGCACATGCGCTTATCACAGCCGAGTCCGTCGCGAGAATGCACATGCGCATAGCGCGGCTCAGCTCTACGTGAGTGTGCGCATGCGCGGAACAGTTGTCGCCGTGCCTAGCTGCGCCCCACGTCGGAGTTCTAGGCTAGGCTACGGCCAGCCCGACAGGGGGTGCGGCCTCGCACGCCCTGAGACTCACCTTCCAAGAACGCAACGCAAGCTTCTAGAGACAGCGCCCAGATGTGTTAAGTGGCCACTGGCGCAATTTTCCATAACGTAAATGGCTGCATGGCTCATGAATATTCATCGTAATACTGCAAGCGCCCCCTCCTAGCTAAACTAGGCGCAACAAAAGGGGCAGAGGCGGTTAGTTCGGTACACGTGGATGCCGTTGGTGTTTGCTGCATTTCTCCAGCACGAAGGAGGTCAGTTTTACTCCAGGCGGCGTAAGATCGTTTTGCAGTGCGGTACATGTGTGTTTTCCATTGTGTCTGGACTCTTTCAGTTTTGCCTGAAGTGAGCTCCGCGTCAAAGAAAGACCAGAAGTTGTTCTACTCTCTGCTGTTGGAGCAGTGGCTGTAAGATTTTTTCCCGTGTAGTTAGGTTGGTGTGTTAATGTGTATGCATTTGGTATGTATTTAGTCTAGCTTCGTCCCCAGGCCCCACCCGCGAAGAGAGGGCTGGTATCCACTGCTTGCGCATGCGCGGTATTTTCAACGTGGGTGTAGAGCAACTACGTCAAGACCAAATTCGATAAAAGGAAATGACGTAGGTATAAAGGACCCCATACTACGCTAGCTCGTAAACAAAACGTGGAGTATGTATGCAAAATGTAGCTGGCTCCTGTGTGTGACCGCCAGCAATTCAGTGTTCCTATTCGGCAAGAGAGGCACTGTGCGCAATTGGGGTCTGAGAATAAGCACTCTCCTGGACATTGCTTTACCAACTATGAGTGGAGACACTACTAAAACAAGGCTCGACTTGGCATCGATCCTGCTCAGCTTGCGGTCCATCACGAACGGCAAAACCTCGTAGCAGAGAGATTTGCCAAATCCGGTGGGCAGCCACACAAAGACATCTCTACCTCGGTAAATTGAGTGTATAGCTTTTCTTTGCTCGGGCTTTGGCATGATGCTTGGAGTTCCAAGCTGAAGCACGGCGTATTGAAGAGCGCGATCGAACTCGCCATTGTCGGCGCTGGCTGTATTTGGCCATTGCTAGCTACTGGACTGACCCCACCCACTTTCCTCTGGTCATTAGGTGACGTTAGCGTCACACGAAAATATACGGCAAATACACGGTTTATCGACATTCCGATAAAATACCGCGCATGCGCAAGCAGTGGATACCGGGCCCTCTCCTCGCGGGTGGGGCTTGGGGACGAGGCTAGTATTTAGTCGTGTGTGCACATAGGGATAGTTATACTGGAGTCCTGTAATGCAGTTACTCTTCTCTTTTAGCTCTCTTCGAGGTTGGCGGTCTAGCGGCTATATTCTGTGGAGAACAGCGGAGGTGGTGCTGCTTCATAGTACAGCAAAGCCGCTCCACGCTGTCTGGGATTCCGCTGAACCTGCGTTTGAGGTTTTTTAAATCAGCGTGAATCCCTTCAGCCCCTTGTTCCCCCAGGAGACCGAACCCCACTCCTCTCCACTGCTTTAGAAACGGCACCATGTGGTCCTCGAGCATGTGCAGTTTGACGGTTATGGTAGCGTCAGAGGTCTGCCTGTAGAGTCTCATCAACTCTGACATATCTGTCTCTGTAAAATATGGCAATAAAGTTTTTGTATTCATGTGGCATGTGTATGTTGTATTTACCTAGCTCACTGAGCTTCTCGCTTGGTATAATGTTTCTGTCATAGATGTGGTGGCACCTTCCAAATAATGTTAGAGACATTTTGTGCGTCTCGTACACCTTCCGGCACTCGTCTACCATCTCTGGAATTTCTCTCATTCCTTTCCATGTCGTCGCCATGTTGGTCTTCATGGCCAAGCCCTGTTCAGCTGGGATCTCAATTTTGACCCCAGCCTTGATCAGTAGCTCTCTCCTCTGCGTAGGCGAGAGGTGGTGTATCTCTATCTGCAGGAGCTGCTCTGGTTGTCCGCCACTCACGATTTCCCTTACTCTGTCTACCTCCTGAACCCTCCTTCGAAGTGTGCGGGATGAGTTCCCATCCCGAGGTGCAGTTACCTTCATGATGCTTAGCGGCTGAATATAAGAAAGGGTTCTGTGTGTGTACAAGCCCACCCAATTATTTTAAACTGACCGGGCCACTAGTAGAAATTGAAACAGGTTTGTTACTGCCTGCAACGAGCCTGCGAACCATGTAGTTGCTGATCTTTTTTTCTTCAGCACTCAAGGGGGTATTTACAGGCTGCTTCTTGGTGGCGTTGAGGCTCAGAGAAGTGATTGTATGTGCTGTGCATTTGCTTTTAATGTGCCTCTCTGCAGCTTCATCCAACAGTCCACGTCCACACAGAGTACACCGTACTTGAACCTTCCCTAGCAGCTTAGATGGGGCGAAGACAGATGAGAACTCTAGCGGATGCTCTGCATTGCAATGAGGGTAGACTAGGGCCTTAGAAGTGAGACGACGATCTTTCACACATGCAGCACAGGCATGGTGAGTACATGGGAGTTCGATAGGGTTTTCCAACATTTTATTGCAGTGGTGACATGCAACTTCACTGTCCATATCCTTTTGCAGCTCCATATGATGAAGTGCTGGTGGAGGAGAGTGGGTTGCTATCATGCTGATATGGTCCACCAACTGGTTGACGGAGGTGCCCTTGGGTCGACCGCGTTTTGTAGATTTCTTCGCAGGTCGACCCCCTGTCTTGTGAGAGGCGGTTCTCTCACACACTGTGCACTCGTCGGCATGTGGTTGCCAGTCGTAAAGAGTCACTGAATGGTTGTAGGTGTTACCTCTTTCTTTGGCAACCAGAATCTGTCGCATTGTTCCATAACAACATTTGCAGAAGTGTGAGGGAACCGTGGAACTCGTGGGTTCCTCGCCCTCAGAGCCCTGGCCCTAACGTTTTCGTTAGCGTTTGAATGGTGCAAGTGTGCTGTGCTACGCACTGCGCGATCGCTGGTCCTTGCGAAAGTACAGCGGTGCAAACGGCATTTTTATGAATTATTAATGAGCATGTTGTAATCGCGTGCACGTAAATTTAATTTTAAAACTCAGTGGCCGTGGAATTACACACGTGAGCTACTACCGACGAGCGTTCCAATCGCTTGTTTGACGTGGGGATCACGTCCATTGCCTTATTTGGAAGTGCGTGCGCCCCAACGACCATATAAACATTTTATCACACCTTTTGTCGTGGTGTTGCGGTTTATCCGCCCTCCCACCTCGGGCGGATAAACCTGCAACACCACTCCATAAGGTGTAATAACATACACTTAGTAGGAATGTGGTATATGCCATGTATGAAGAAAGGTAAAGAGCCATCACAAGTACAATAGGGGATAGCACGAGTCCCAAAGCCATCAGATCCCAATGTTAAAATTTCTACTGGCTTAAATATGTATGCAATGATGGATACCGATATTGTACATACGTATAGGCCACTTCACATGGGGTTCGTAGTTCCTAAGATTGGTATGATGAGTTGTCTTAGGTCAGGAAAGAGAAGGGAGAATGCCAAAAACTCTTACAGGGGATATAAGCCGGGAACTATCCCTGGGGGAAAATCCCCCCGTCGTCCCTTGTATATACATAGTGGGAGGACTCATCAGCCAGCCGGCCTGGATACTAGAAATTCTTCACACTGAGCTAAAATTTCCTTGACAAAAGCCAGTCACAAACTTTCCCTCTAACCACCAGTACCTTTATTTCCCATTCTTACTCTAGTGGCCCACCCTGTCAAATGCCACCGGTAATTGGGTGGTAATTGCCTTCCACCAAGAGCAATCAAGGTGGGTGGTGCCATCTGCAGTGTATTCTTTATGGTTTGAATGCTGCCCGGCTAGGGACAAGTAATTTATGCATGAGTGCGTGCACGACACCTTGTGAATGTGCACTTACCACTCCTATAGAGGTCTATAGGACCAAATCTCATTAAAACAAGGTCTAATAAATAGCACAAAAGTTTAAACCCTCAGCAAAAGGAACGCACACAAGCTACTTGCATGCGCAATGATGGCTACGCCATGTCACACGGTTTACCCCATCAACCTAGACAGTTTATAACACTAACACAGGCCCAGTGGGTAGTGTGTAGAGCATACACATCCCATAAGTACTTAATTTTGCCATGGTGCGCTGAAAGGCTAAGCCTGATCTACATAGGTAAACCAGTGTTGATAAGACATATCACTGTTTTTCACACCATATTATATCTCTCTCAAACGCAATCACGTCAGCCATTACGTTTTTCAGGCTATGCCGTTGGTATCGCTTATACGCCACCTTGTAGCCTGTAATGCAAGATTCTCCTTACGTGCAAGCACATTTCAAAAGAAACAAAACTGTCCCATAGTCATCAGCAAGTTTATACCCCTGGATGGGCAATCAATTTAATTTGTGCTATGCCTGGTCCGCGAGATCACCAGGCTTGCCGTTTTGTTGTTGGTCGGAATCTATAATTAGTGCCTATATACCAAACATAACGTCGACTATGAGTCAACACAGACACACATACATACATATATGTATGAATCAAAATGGCACAGGTATGCACATAAACAGCCCACCTCTATATCAACTTTAGCCTCAGTTAATGTCTGGTTGTCATATTTCATGTGCTCCAGTTCATTCTGTAAACTTTCAAACCTCTCCTCTGAGAGAAGACGCTCTACATTCAGGGATTTTTTCTCTGCTTTTAGTTTCTCAATCTGCTCTTCAAGTCCCTTGCGAGATGCTAGTGCATCCACAGAATAATAGTGTACATACAAACATACTTAATGTATGACAGTTGTGGTCAACATAAAAATGAGCAACATATGATGTGTGGACGTTCGAACGTAGACTGAAATGTGTATCAGTGCATTGTAGTTATAATAATAATATATGATAAACCCATAAGAGCTAAGACAGTAATACTATTACAGTCCTTAATAAGCACGCAAGATCGGCCTGTAAAAAGCTACAATTCGAAAGTTAAAAGCGAACTGTGTAAATAAAACTGGCAATTGAGAGTCCTGCTAAGCTACTGCCGGTGCTTCGTGGCATTGTTTGCGACCAAGTTTCACGGCCGAAAAGGTGCGTGTTAGCATTCTAGGCACCTAACCCTTACTCTGAAAGTACACCTTTTGCATCTTTACCTGCCCTGATCTACCTCGCCAACGGTCTGCTTGCTCAGAAGTGCCACCATACAAGCAGGTGTTACACAATAGGCTTGATCTAAACTAATGGCCTAGTCTAAGTCACTAATGCATATCCATCTGGTAGACCTTTCGAGCCTATATATCTTGTATCGGGACAGGAACTTATAACTAACAGAATGATCTGTATTCTACCTGTGTATTTTGAGAGTGTCAGAGTCTTTCTTCGACTGTCTTTCCAATAGTGGCAACAAGAGCAGCACAGGGGTAATATAAGACAAAGAGCAGAAGCAATGACACCAATGATCCCAAATTCAGGTCCCTAGATACAACAAAAACAAAACTACTCTTTATTTCATGTGTTTACATTAAAGTACAAACTATACCTGATCGTTAATCCATGCAGCAAGTTGTGGAGAGAACTGAGCCACTATGTTAATAACTGGCACTGTAAAAAGGATAGGAAGTAAAGGGATCCAGTGTGAGATATTCTACACTCATGGTGCATACAAGCCAACGATTAAACCTGAACCTAACATTATTTGGAACGCAGTTCCAGGTAAGTCGTACGCAGAGCAGAAAAGTGAACAACTGAGTGGTTGTACATCCCAAGCGTCATTGGGATGTGCCCCTCGTAAGTACTTTTCATTAGATGCACAAAAGTTTTTTTTGTACATGAGGAGAGCTTTCATGAGTGGTACTTTGTAACACTACTTCTATTTCTAGTTAGTAAAAATGGTCCCTGGGACTTTTTAGTAGCTATAGGCTGGCTACGAATACGCAGCACAAGTTCAACTCTTTTACGCGATCTCTTCAAAATCTTAGTCTCCGTTGCAACCATCATCGAAATGCCTGGCAGGCTGCACCACAATACTAGTTCCACTCTACTTCACATGTGCAAAAAAGGTAATGAAGGCCGTGCCTATCAGATTTTGCAGAGTGGGTTATTAATAACAAACAGACAGAGGAACATACAATGATTTAGTGCAAGAATAGTCTGACTGACTGACAGACAGACCAAGTACCTGCCCTCCATATCAGTTATTGATGTGTGCTCTAAGCAAAGAACTTACTCTGAGGGTCTGACTCCTCCTGAGATTTCACATTAGTGTGGATAGGTGTGGAGGTGGTCTTGCGATTTTCAGGAGGCAGATGTTCAAGGGACGGAAGTTGTTGCTGCCCCCTGGTCGATTCATGTTGCTGGCTTACTTGTTCCACATCGGGTAACGGGAGATGAGTAGCTTTAAGATCATCTTCAAGGTCATCGTCTGGAAAAAGTTGAGAAGTGGGTTGTGGATGCACTTTAACCTCTGGTTCTTCTGAAGTGCTAACAGGTTGTGTACGCCGTTCAATATCTGGCAGGGGCAAAAGAGTGGTATCCTCAAAAGTCTGTTTATTAGTTTCACCAACCCTGCCTTGTTCAGTGTCCCTTGATGCCAATGGAGTGTTCAACACTTGCAAATTTTCAGTTTTGCGAAGCTGAGCATCTTCAGTTGAGGTAAACTTTATATTAGCAGAGGTTTGTTCATTCAAAATTTCCGATATTACTTCCTTCATGTTATTAGTATCGTCTTCTTCGAAAGTATTTGTTTGTTTGTATCTCTGTTGCAAAGAGTGGACATCCAGGTAGCTGTGATGTCGATGGTTCTCACCAGTTTTAGTTGGAGAAGGGGTGTATCCAGGCATATCTTCAGCCTCATGACTAGGAAGTAGTTCCTTATCATAGGCAGGATAACCTTCATTTACCTCTGTATAGATGGGTACTTCGTTTTCAGGGAGAATTTGCTTAGGTGGGGAATTCTCTTCAATCTCCATCACTTCCCGTTCAGTATCAGGTCCAGCATCTGCATATCGGTCATAAAAGTCAAACTCCACACCTTGATCGTCGAAGTAATCGTAGTCTACTAGCCTTACCGACCCATCTTCTGCCTTAATTTGGAAATTTCCACCACCTAGAGGCACAACACGTACACTCTCACCGTTTCTGAGATTGACAAGTATTGGTTCTTCGCCTCCTGGGTGACTTTCATAAGAAGAGGTAGGGGTATGAAAAGGAGAGTCTTGAGTAAGAGTATGTTCTATAACACTCTCAACTCCACCTGTGCTCCATGTTTCATAACTAGTATATGAAGGTATAACTTTCTTTGCATCAAAATGTTCAGAACTTGCTTCATCAGGGACACCTTTGGCAGAAGGTGTTTCATAATCAGCAATACCATTACTTGATGACCCAGCACTGTACACCTCACTTGCAGTAGTTTCATCAAGGGTTTGAAAATTGAAAGATGGTGGCACACCAAATTTTTCCTTATCTGCACTATTACTTTCTGGTTGATTCTGTTCTTCCTGATTGAAAACATCTTTATCCAATGGTGCCTGAGAAGACTCTCCTAATTCAGAACTAGGCGTTTGGTCAAAGTTGCGCTCACCACTATCAATATCCTGGGGTGGTAGAAGAGACTCAGAGTTTGGTGACTCACCAGTTCCAGAAATAGACTCAGGTGCCAAAGTACTAGATGGAGCAGAGATTGCTTCCATTGTTTGACTGGGTTGGTCATGAGTTTCTATTTGCTGCCTGTCATAAGAGTCATGATACACAGAGTAACTTGTCCATTCATCACGTAGATGTTCATTATACTCAACACCATATTGGTCATTGTCACTGCTGTCAAGGTCACCATTTTGAGTTATCTGGTTTTCATTAGACATATAATCTTCATTGAAATTCCTTTTTTCTTCCTTCAACTCCTGGTTGTTAGGCTCTTCCTCCGGGCTACCATAATCGAGATCGTCATGCTCACTGTAAGTTTGCAACTGTTCTCTATCTTGATCAACTGGGTTATTTCTAGATGGTCCTTGTTTCTGCTCCAGGACAACATCCGTCTGAGAGTCAGGCTCACCTGATTGATGGATGTGGGGAGGACTTGCATCATATGGTGTGTGAGAAGGAGGAGGGGGGGGAGAATAGTGTAACGTGTTCCCGTGACCATCCAGATGATCATCAGATAACTCCTGAATAAAATGGAAACACGAAAGAAATGCACGCTCTTACACTGAGCTCATGCATGATGGGCACTACAGTTGTAGAAGTCTGTTCACACGCTTTGTAAACGTAGGTATGGAATGTAAAATGTGCTTATTACACTTGCATGAGTTTGCCCTGAGTAAGGAATGTGTAGCTATAAGATCAGGGTTGAGATTTTAGGCAAACATGGGACAGAAAACAAATCAATAAGGCTACAGAAGTGATCATTAGCCATGGCCACTGTTAAGTGACACAAAGACTAAACATGCAAACCTTGCTAACGCAAAAGCAATAATTTCACCGTCTCGGGCATTGTTAATCGTAGATTTCGACTATTAATAAAAAGGTCTAACTGAAAAAAAACTTGCTTAAGAAGTATAAAAAAAAAGTGCCACAGACTGTGCAAGTATAAAGTGCGGACACAACTAGTGTGAACACAATGCGATGCCCATATTCCTAAGATCTACGCACTGCGATAACAGCTTGTGTGTCTCCTATTTACAGGACTAACACTGTAAGTAAAATCCATGGTCTGCGGGGCCGGAGTGGCTGCAGGTTTGCGTTAAGCATGCTGCAGGATATTGTCCCCTCTCACTATTGCACATGACTAGAGACTGCAAACTATTTTCGGATTGACGAAATATCCGTGGTTTGCTTTAAAAAACTGTGGATGGTCTGAATACATACTTTGCGCCTATATGCACACAGCATAGACTATACATTAATTTTCTCAAGCTCATCTACCAGCCTGATGCTCATCGGTGCTGTGCTATTAATCTAGTGTGACTAAGGTTGTACCCAAGGGACATTGGGCAGGCTATTGGATTATCTATACATTAAGGTATACCTTAATTCAGTGAAGAAATCTATCCATGCCAGCGCTTACGCACTTTATTCTGGGTCTGTTAGTGGTTTCCTAGCACCCAAACACTTCCATAGGAAATGAAAGTGGTTTGCTGTAAAGTAGGCCAATGTTGAATCATCCATGCTGCTCATGCAAAGGCACTAAGATTATAATATGATTACAAGTATTGAATTTTGTTCATGTTCACGATTATTAGACTCAGAATATTATATATCGTAACCAAAAATTAATTCGCAACGAGCAGTAAAAGACGCAAACACAATTTTTAAACTACACAGTTAAACCCGGTCATACCCCACATGCAAGAAATTAGTGTCATAATCGAGCCATGGTAAAGTGTTGGTATAAATATTTTTCGCCTTGCTATTTCCACGTTTACAAGCTTACATATAATATGCAAAAGATAATGACAATTTAGTAATGGACATGGGTCTATTAAGCACATGCAGTAGCATTGCATGGTATCATAACTCTGTGTGGTAAAATTGCATGACAAAACTGTGTATAGCATACACCAAAAGAAGAAAGAAGAAATACAACTCCAGACCATCCTCCACCCAAGTACACAAAGTCAACAAACAACACACTCACACAATACACACACGCACCGAAAACACACCTACAGAACACACGCACACACAAAGAAAGGTCGGACACCAGGTGCCCGGCCTTGAAAACTGGGGCATTGGGTTGAAGAGTCTTTTACGGCATGCCAACTCACCAAGTGCCCGACCTCACCACAGGTTACAGCTACACTAACAGCAGTACATAATACAAATGAAAAGCACTAAAGTGGCCTTGGCGAACTGCGCATGTGCGGTACCGCTAATTGATGGGCTGGACAATTACTCGTGGTCTCCACGCTGGTATAGCTCGCAGAGAGTCTGACACGGGTAAGCTACAGCAGTAGATGGCATGCGGGAGTCGATACATGCCCTTCGCTATGACTTCTTGTGCCTTCAAGATACACCGAGCAAGCAGACCCGCTCGAGGTAAGCCTGTTCTAATTAGCATATTGCCTTTTTCGGTCGTGTTTCACACCGTAACTCCAGAACGCAGCATTTTCAGAGAAAACCCCACATACTTCCGTCGCTGAACACGTGGTATCGTTTGTGTAGCGATTCATTGCTCGTGAAGTGAGAGGCAGACAGACACACACGACAACTACCGTAACCCTTGCTGCACATGTGCGCCGAGGGTTAATTACTACATATTCCACCTACGTACATATACTACACTCCATATGCAGGTCCAGATGGAAAATTTGAAGAAACATTTACAATAGTGAAATTCCCGTTTGTCATAATAATTATACTACAGTCGAATATTTCCCATTTTCTATAGTTCCTAAATATAAGTTAGTTACTCCTTATACTTGGGAACTACGGGATTTCAATGAACCCAAGGGCCTCCGCATTGTAGTGTCCCGAGCGCTCATTGAAATCCGGTAGTTCCCGAGCATACGGAGTAACTAGTGCAGAGCAGACAAATCCGCACACGCACAGCGCCCTGAAATTCGAATGAGCGTGAAGACGCGATTGGTAACAGACTCGAGCGAGGTTTTAGCCACCAAAAACGGTAGGCAGAAGCTATATACAGCACCAGCTCGTCGTCTGCGCACGTATCCGCGGGCGTGAACGTACCGCTAGCGCTAGCGTACAGGCGCTTACGTACAGCTAGGCCCAGACTTCTTGTCTCTCTGTGCATACTGTTGAAACTAAAAAAGAATTATTGTAGACGATAAAGCTACATGTTTCTGTAGTTATGTACATGATCTTGTCATTTTCATGTGAAAATTTTACATGAAGGTTTACTACGGGAAATTAAGTACCTCGTGTGGACCAATCAGATTGCTCGATTTAAACCAGCTATGCATTAATACGTCTAAGTATGACAGTTTTGTCTCGCATTCTGTTGTCTTTTTGAGTTTGAGTTTGTGAGGATATATATCAGCTATCGCTGATTGAAATGCATGTTATTATAACATCGGAATATAACTAATATTCACAAACTCAATGAAGCACAAAGTGATCAACAAAATGGGTCTAAATGTAGGTATATACACGTGATGTAAAACACTCACCTTTGGCTCACATAAAGTGTGCAGCTCGGTCACAACTTGTGCAGGAACCAATCCCTTTCTTCCTTGTATCTAAAATAAAATACACCACACGCAGGTGAAAGTCTCATCCCTAGACCACCCACACAGGGTCTGGGAACAAGATAGGCAAGCAGGTCTATATTCCCTAGGTAATGAAAAGCACTAAGTGCAAACCTTTAGCGTATCTAACACCCAAACGCATGCATGGGTCGGCACAAATAATTAATGGGCTGGGCTATGGCTATATGTACAGCTATGCTCTTTCGCTGGCTTACTGAGAGCCTGACAGAGAGTAGCGACACTAGTACTAGATGGCATGCGGACCTCGACGCTCGACCTCCATACTAACCTTTAGTGCCTAAAGGGTACACAAAGCAAGCATATCTGGCTGAGGTAAGTCCGTGTTAATTTTCATGTTTGCTTTGTTCACTTGGTTTCTCAACCAAACTTTTGAACGCAGGAACCAGTGCTAGTATTCAGACAAAACAATGTTTACACTAAGCACAGTGTGTTCATGATCAATAACCACCTCAATACTTGGGGAAAGCCATGGGAAGTGTGTCCTTTGTCCTGAAACACAAAGGAGGTATAATCACTGAGGAGCTTTTGTCCTTGCCGTCGTTTGGCACTAAGAAGAGTGTCAACCTACAAGTTAGGAACAGATACCCTCTGCCCTTACTGTATCCAGCCAAACTACTGCTTTTCAGTCATTTCATAAGCATAAGGTAAACTAGTGAGCACAAAACTTCATACACAAAAGTGCCAGTCTGAGCCGCAGTCCTGCAGACTAATGTAGACTGAGAGCGACATAAAACTTCTCAGAGATTATTCTTGGGGCCATTGAAGTGCTCCAAAATGTCGACTGTCATGCTTAAAAGCTATTGTAAAACCTGGACCAGACTGGACAGGAAAGGACCGACAAAGCCTTGGGTGCAAGGCTCGTGCACGGGGTCAAGACACAGCACAAACTGCAGTGATGGCATTCTTTTATAGTGCAAGAAGCTGGTAAACATCAAGTGCATGATGCTAGTGCTAACAATGAAGTGAGTCCTACCGCATGTGCAATCCCATGTTACGCTAGTCAGTGAAGTGAGTCCAGCTGCGCTGTAGTACAGTTTACACCAGCCAGATTCTTGTCTGATGGTAGACTCTGGCCAGAACTTTACATGGCTATATAACTAGTCTCCACTCCATTGCTGCATTGGGTGCTGTGGCAGACGCTAACATTGTTGTGGGGGGTTATAACCACAAGCTTTTAGTAATCTAGACCATCTGCCTGGCTCTAGCTTTCCTGGCTGCTGCAACCATGACAGGGAGCGAGCATATGTCAGGAAGTTCTCAGCGAGTAAATTTCACAATGGAATGTGGCCAGCATCATCACCCTTGCTTTTTCATATCTGTATACATTTGCGTGGATTGTATAGTGCTGAAACTAGTGTGAAGGTGTCCCACCCGCAGCTTCATAAATTTATGCAGCATTATAATATGGGCGCAACAATATCAAACATACGCAACTTGGTAGTGTGGGTGATTAGTCCATGATACATGTTGCATGGCCTTTACATCCTAACTTCATTGCATGTGGTCGTGTATAATGAACTTCACACACATACCTCAGCAAACCAAAGTTCTTGCCCTGAACTATCAAATTCAGCTTGTTTGATGAGTATTGTCACAATAGCAGCATTGGGAAATGACAAGTGGCCTGCCTCCTGTGTGATATAGCGATCTTTAGTTCTTCCATAAGACACAGGCTCTGAAAACAAACATACACGTACATTTTCATACATTTTCCACAAATCCTTGTGCAATGGGGAAAATATACATAGGTGTATGTACAAATTGCAAGCACCTGTACATACAAAAGGCACTCTGACACATGTATCGTATGCAACACATAATTTTTACCACGTGTGCGTAGTTTTGAATGAAGGTCAAGTGCGGTACACGCTTCACACACGTTCAACGCAGCATTTTTGCATGAAAAAACTGAAGGCCAGTTGGAAAATGCAGGAGACATCCTTATGACCCTCTTGGTTCATTTTGCCATTGGCTCTTGTAAGGTAGTAAGTAAACGCATGTGCTGTGAGTTCAAAGAGATCCGACCAATCAGATTCTATTATTGAACCCTAGCCCCATTAAGAAGCTTATTGCTTCCGTGGGTGGCCCGCGTCGGAACACCTATAAAGCAGGCATGGTAGCTATTATCACCTAGATCCCCGAATTTTAGCACACACATTTTATCTTGACAGTTGGCTATCACAACCACAAGTACATCTGGATCTAATTCTATGTCTCAACTAACCACATATGAAATCACCACTGTGATTTTTATGATGGGTCAAAGTTCACGTTTTGTTGCTGTTTCTAGATGTGACTAAAATGGTTAACGAGAAGCCTAACAAGAATCGGGAAACATTTTGTAGGAGGGTACATCTGGCTCAAGAAGAGGATACGTATCAGTGTGGAACACTAGACGATGTATACCATTCTGTGCAGGATAGTTAGTACGGTGCCCTGGCATTCCTTCCCTGTGTGGTGGATGTATGCGTCATTTAATTGTTCAATCTATGGCAGAATGCTCGTAAATTTTTTAGAGTTAGTTAATAATTCCAAGCCACTAGGTCACTGCCAACACACACACACACACAAGCCTGCCTGCCGAAGTTATAAGTCCCTCACTTTTGCATTCCTGATCGCAGCACAGCTTAGCCCAACAAGCTGAGGTCACCACAGTCAAAACAAGCAGCCGCGGCAAAGCGATCATCGCGGGTTGGTAGAAATTCTAGTAGATGCACCCCACGCCACGTGGCGCGCTGAGAATTAAGACGCCGCGCCCATTTCGCCCAACCCCCTAGCCACGCAACAAAGGGTGCGCAGTCAAAATGAGGTTCGTATACAACAACCTACTTCTAGTTTGGGCTTCTTTAGGTGTAGCATACGACCCGTTCAATGAAGCAGTTCAACGCGACCGGTCATTACGAAGAGTTGACCAGTGCTTTTGTGAGGTGAGCTACTAGACACACTTATGTTAGGCCAGTGGGTGCGACGCCACGTCTCCGCCACGGGTACAAACAAAAGGTCATTCTAACTCCCAGACCCCACCCTCAACAGAGGGAAAGGGATCTGGTGAGAATTATTGTTTGTATATAATATACAGTAAGCAAAATGATATCATGTAGAGCATGTGACCACATACAACAAAGCTCGTAGTCTTGTGCCCAGCCACCTCACCTGCAATTGGAAGGAATGTCTGGTAGCTATTCTACCCCTGAACCCTTCTGGCCAATGAGTGCCATTGTTGCGTAAGTGGGTGTGACCAACGAACACTCGCATAAGATGATGTAAAGCACCAGTCACTATACTACCGTTTGCCTAGGCTGTGGATGTCCCACACCAGTTACGGTCGGTGTTCTGTGTGGTATCAACGCTCGAGACAAACCACACGCAAAAGTAGAGAAACCAATGTGAGAGAGCCTTTTTCAAAGCACACAACACGCGCAACTTTGCAGAAGTTACATAGCCATAATTAGGTGTAGGACCAAGGAATGCTACCAGACGTCCCTTCCCGTGTGGGTGGGACGACTGGGCACGAGACTAAGTGTCTCCTAGGTATGAATACAAGGCTAGCACTGTTAAAACATTATTGTCACCCGTCTCATCAAGCTTCCCTCATATAATATCTATGCTGAAACACATACATTTATGTATATGGTGATAATTTTTCGTGTCTCCTTTCGTTTAAAGAAGGGCAAGTGCCTGATTGTTGTCTCAAAACATATCCCATGTATGTAGATGATGTACCAAGTTTTATCCCTATTCCTGCTAACCGCCAGCAAGTTTAGGTTATTGTACTTACTACCGTTAGTTTAAGAAGTGAAGAAGTGTCTGAGGCCTTTTGTTGTTATTTACAATCATGTATCATCTCCATACGTGCTACTGTTAGCAGGTTCGAGAAGTGAAGGAGAAAATTCCCTGACGCTCTTTGTTGTTGTTTTACACACATGTGATCAAATAAAATGTCAGAATAGTGTGATACGCATCAAAGTTTCATCCCCATATGTGCTACCGTTAGCAGGTTTCAGTGGTGAAGAAGTAAAAGTGCCTTAGACATCATTTTTAGTTATGTATTCAAATACGTAAGATAAGGAGGAACACAAGTAGGAGGAATACTATTGAGGAATGCGATTGGGTAGCATGTTTCACACGGCCTATGCACATATTTTTTGATTTTCATGTTTGCCGCACGCTGCACTATTATAATAGACTGCAAATCATAGGAACCACACACGTTAGGAAGCTTGTCCCTGTAGTAGCGTCATAGCTACGCTCGGAAGAATGCCATGCCCCCAGAGCCTTGGTCTCCCCTCTCCGCTTAGTTTCCTATTACTCATTGACTAAGTGTATTAAGCCAAACTGCTTCAACAGAACAGATTAAAAAAATCCTGGTGTTCTAAGCTGTGTTCATGTATGGGTACAAATACACACGACTTGTAACAGTTGATAACCTGTGCTTGAAAGGAAGGTATTTTATTCACACAGAAGGTCCCCGTTAAGGTACATTACATCAGAGTTTCAATCAACAAGGGTTCTAGTCCAGCACTGTTGTTTGGAAATCATTTTTACGTTTATGTGTAGCTTCAGGGTCCTGTAGATGTGTGCTGTTGTGATGTTGAGACCGTTGACACTCTAAACTCTGAGAAAATTTATCCACTAATTAGCTCCTTGGTGGAGTTTCCTTTTTTCAAATTCTATCAGGTATGTTCAATGATTGCAGTGTAATTTACAATTTACCTGAGTATTGTATTTTCTTTGGGCAAGTGTAGCATTGGTGTGATGTTCTGTGCAGGTAAATCTAAACCAGCCCTGTCCATTCTGGCCCGATGATAGTACCTGTATGACAAAACTCTGTGACGTTCAAGAGTGTGAGGAGGTATATAGTTGAACACCTGTACTGATTGACATAACACCTAAGAGTTAGCTGTGTAGGGCCACTCCTTTTCTTTTTGCCATTAACCTAGCCACCTCTGTTTGCATTCCATTGACACAAGACGGAACTATTATTTTGTAAACCATTATTGGCCTTTCTAAGTTGTAGAACGAATGGAACATCTTCATTTGCTCTAGTATATGTAGGGACTGTCTTTTTCACAGACTGAAATTCCAGTCACATTAAAACTATGTGACCAAGAGCAGGAAGAGAACTTGAGACTCAGTTATGTGAATAGCACTGTCAGGTAAGGTAATCAGTGGACTGTAGATTCCACTTAGTTACAATAGCAACCTACATGATGTCCTTTTGTAATTTTACTTTTGTAGTACACAGCAACAAGAAGATTTCATGAAATGGGAGAAGCATGACGATTCAGAGGAGAGCTTCTGTGAAAGTGATGGTCAGTAACATTGGAGATTGCAGTACTTGCTTTGTGCTGCATCCATTGTGTAGCTGCTACGTAAGTCATCACTAAGTCCAATTACCAGCCCATGTGTTTCCTCGAAGTGAACTCGTTCGGCTACACATCTTGCACTAATTAGTGTAAGTCATTCCGCGACATGTACTTTTCACTACATTCGCATAATTTCAAACAAGATCAAGTGCGCATGTGTACTACTGTGTTTTGTCGTTTGTGTTTTTTACACAATAGACTGACGTGGGATAGCTTGGATAGCTGTGACACCTTGAACTGTTGTCGGATTTTGAGACCAACTGCTTCTGTGTGGCGGCTCTTGTAATAGCATCCTTGAGCCATTAATTAGTCTCCTAGCAGCTAGTCTGTGTGAAGTGTGGCCAACAACACTGAATTTGTTTATGTGGGTGGTTTTGCACAGATGATTAGTATAGTGTGGCATCAGTCTTGGAGAGAATGGTAGTACGTACATGCTTACATGGAACTTTGGCTCCACGGCAGAGCATGAAATTCGAAATCGATCCTCATCCAGGCCCCACTTGGTTAGCACGCTTTGCATGTGCAGACCTTAGTAATAAGCTTGTCTCTTTGGCCGTCTTGTAGCTGTAGTGTTAAGAGATGAAGATGTTATGACAAATGCAGTATTACGATCTAGACATACAACATGTATGTACAGCATTCCAAAAGTTAGTGTAGTGTTCAACTTACATAAGGGAACTGTTTGTAATGCTGTTGCAAATACGATTGTATGTCAACCATTAAAATCGTACAGTTACCTATTATCACTACCAGTCCGCAATAGGTAGTTTCTTTTGTTTGACTGAATACTAGCCACACCCACTGGCATTATTAGTTGCCGATCTCGTGAGCTAAGAGCTAAGAGGTGCTTTAGAGTACGGCTATTATCAACAGCTATAACATAGTGAAAAATAAGCACTTAATATTTGCCACAAAATTAAGAGAGTTCTTAAATAGAAATATAAAGCAGGGAAGGGGAGAAAACAGCAAGCATTTGTACCTGTGCGGTCACACTGAACTGCACCAATGTTCATCACTTCACGAGTTGTGAATGGACCTGAACAGAAGAACCCTGTCACACAGATCAGCCCTGGCAATTATACGCACATGTATTGTAAATTAACTGGTTTGAATTGCCATATTATACAGCATATATGTAAACTTTAGGACTGTCAACATAATATTCTTAGAAATTCACTGTGTGCCATCATGTATTATGCTGTAGTGGACAGTGCGGATGGTATGATATATGTGGACCTCTTACTTAACCCTGAAAGATTCACTGGCTATTCTGGTGCTTCTGCTCACAGACTTTGGAATTCTATATACAAAGAGAACTGCTTCCGGTATAATATACATGTGTTGCTTAGGGTGCAGTGCTACCATTGCTTGGGTATTGAGGAAGATTAGGTCAGTCTTGTCCCCAAGATTTTTGTAGAGAGGCAGAACCATTATATATGTTTCCCGCAATGTTAGGCCAGTTTGGAATTAGGCGAACTTGACAACATGTTCAGAATTTTTTAATGTTAAGCTAGGTTTGCAGCCTGAGAGTGTGCAGGAATTATATTATACCTATAACTAATTTATGGTTTTCCTCTTCAGGCCAGAGATACATTCTTCGGTAATGCTACCATTCGAGTCGTCCCTTGTTCAAGGTAAGGTTAGGGGTGTCCAACTGTGCATTGGCAGAATTAAATGAATGATGAATGTGAAGTGCAATGCAGCATGACATTTAGCTTCATGACAATGTCTATGGATCACCATTGTATGTAGCTAGCAGTGCCTGGTGAAGTCCAGTCAAACAATGGATATTATGATCCCTATTCTACCCGAGACTATGCATGCAGACATTTACATTAAAGAGCCCAGCGCGGCGGTCCGGTCATTTGAATTCCCTACTTTTGAGCATTTAACGCTTTTGCTAAGTACTTTATCCTGACACCCTTATTATGATTTATGACTGTATCCTAAATCGGAAATCCGAAATTTCTCACCAATAATTATGACCTAATATTAGGATCGGCCTTAGGTAAGCACTAAATCCTAAGTTCAAAGACTGAATAGAAATGTGACGTAGCAGGTCTTGGAGGGCTCTCGGTCTCGACTTCACCACACGATGGGCCACGTGTCGGCGCATGCATGGAGAGACTCCACTCGCAGCGCATGGGCTTATCCTAGATCACGGATTTACAAATTCAGTCTTTTGACTTCTAGGATTTAGTGCTTACCGAAGGCCCATCCTCATATTAGGACTTAGGATTCCACAATTATTGGTGATACAGATTGAAATTTCAGATTTCGGATTTAGGATGTAGGATTTTACAGTCATAAATCATAATAAGTGTGTCATGATAAAGTAGTCAGCAAAAGCGTCCAATGCTGAATAAGTCAAACCGCCGGAATTTACGCTGACCCTAGCACTCCCTAGACAAAAACTTGCCTAGCATCTGTATGTAGATGTATGGAAATGAGAGCATTATTTGCATCATCTGTGGGATATGAATAACAGAACAAGGCTTGCACAAGAAATCTGTGGATTGTCCAAATCCTTACCTTATATGATCAACAGTACCTGGTCGTGGTGTTACATGCATTGAGAATATGAGAATATTGTGCGGAAAATCTCCCTAGGCACGAGTTGTTCTAGCTGTAGCTTTCATTTTTCATCAGGTAGGTGGTAGAGCCAAAAAGTTCCCTCAGTGTACTTTTAGATGGTTGTAGAGCTATGTGGTCACCTATGTATGTGTGCCGCATAAACCTGTGTAGGTTAGTCTCGGTCCCAGACCCTTTCCTATATACACTTTTTACGCATGCACAGTGAAAGGGGGAGGGGAAGGGAGGAAAGTGTCTGGGGACAAGGCTTACCCTACGGCGGATCCCGGAATGTAAACTATTTTAATTGGCCAAACCACTTAGCGTTAATGCACATGGCGGAGTACGAGGTGCTGTACTGCAGTAAACAAATCGCGAGTATGGAGTGCAAAGCCTGCGGAAAGAAGACGGACTCCAGATTGTGTAAGGCCCTTACCGAGGCGGTTTATCACAGTGCGGCTTTCAGTTACTGCTCTGCATCAGTTCTTGGCCACTGATCCGTGTGTGGTGTGCGAAGTTTTCTACTCTGCCCTGAACAGGCAATGGCGGCCTCCACAGCCTCTCTCAGCCATTTCTGCATGATCAGCACATCTGGTGGCAATCGTAGCGGCTGTGGTTACTAATGCATGTTTGAGACCTACCGCCGCATTCCATCACGGATCCGCTGTAAGGTAAACCTTGTTCCCAGACCCTTTCCTTCCCTCCCCTTTTACGCTTAAAAGTGTCTGACCACAAATTAAAATAGTTTACATTCCAGGATAAGCCTTGTCCCCAGACCCTTTCCTTCCCTCCCCTCCCCCTTTTAAGCGTAAAACACGTACATATAGGAAAGTGTCTGTGACCGAGACTATAGTGTAGGCCTCTTGCAGACATTGCTATGTTACTACAATCACTCCTCTCACCTGCAGAATGTTCATTGTTTTGCTAGTGTAAAATTCTTTATGCAATTTCCCATCTAATGTTCAATTATTCACTCGAGTATCTGGGAGATATGAAAGGCTAAGTTGTATGGCGCTATTATTGTTGAACAAAGCGAGCCTGCCCGGTCGTCTGACTTTTTATTTCTATAACAATGGACAGGCACTGCCATTATCATAATGTTTACCTGATACTATGTACGTACAAAAGCGCGCAAAACTGCCTAATGTGTTGCATTCATTCTTGTATTTTATTATTAAGGCGGTAGAATATAAACTTCTGTGTCATATACGTAGGCACCCTAATTGTTAGTAATGGTTCATTTTGATCTCAGGGATGTGTTTGGAGAAACGGGCATTTTTTCGGATACTGTCTGGGATGCATTCCAGTATCAACATTCATCTTTCTGCTCTTTATCGAGTATCAGGTACAGTATTTTTATTATTGTGGGGTAGTGAGGCTGAAAGTCGAGCAGTCTACATTATATTTTAGGCTTTTAGGCTATTTTAGGCCATCAGATGATTTAGGGTAATTAAATGTTTGTTAGAAGTAACAAATGTCATGACATATTTAGACATCTCTGTTAAGTTGTACTTCTTGAGCAAAACACATTGTTTCTGTGCGTAAGCGTTGGAATGGATTTCTGAGACTGTATGTATTGCCTTATAATGTGGTGATAATAGCTAGACCACAGTAAGGTGGCAAGTCATCACATGGCTCGTTTTTTTCCAAAGCATCCACTGGAAATTTTTAACTCTCTCCTACCACAAGGGAGAACACCTGGTAACATTGATCAATTTGTCTTGGTCCTAGCTCTGAAATTTAGCTCGCCAATTTGTTTGCAGGCTATTTAAACAATCGGTGCCTGTTAGTTTCGTGTGCAAGGCGATAGATACATTTAATGGAGAATATTCTCCGGCAAGATTTTGCTGCAAGTGGCATCAACTCAGCCTTCTTGTGTGAAGAAAAAGACCTAAAACAATAAATGCACATGGGGGAGAAAGGTCTCTTCCATGACCCTTGTAGAATGCTCACAAGATTTCCATCTATCACTTTACCGTGTGTGTCTTACTATCACTCAGAGGTGTTTAGATGCCTTTCCAGGACATAGGAAGACCCTAGTACCCCAAATACAGCGAAGGGGAAGCGGCGCCTGTAAGAAATGAAAGGCACTGAAGTGCTAAACCCTCGGCATGGAGTCCCACATTGGGGCTACGATGCTAATACTGAAACAAGCACACGCGCGCATTCATCACGCACGCGGTTCGTGGCGCACTATGATAAACACATGCGCATTGTCATGTCTCGCTCTCTCCCGGTCCTCTGCCTCCTCGCTCGCACTAACTGCCGGCTCGCTCACCACCCGTCGATCGTGCATTGCTCGTGCTGCCTAGCTGGAACCGTAGGCAGCGTTCGGTATTCTCGCTATATCCTCCGCAATGTGCCTGACGGCAAAAGCGGTCGAGGTAAGCCATGGTGATTGTATTAGCATATTGGCTTTTTCACGCCATAACTTTTGAACGCGGTACTTTTACGAAAATCGCCAGTTTTAAAATGAAGCCAGTGTAGCGTTGAACCCGTTGGTGTCGCTTTTTGCCCTGTTTGTTGCGCGTGGTGGCAGAAAACGTGGTAACAGACAGACGGACAGACAGACAGACACAGAGAACGACTACCGTAACCCTCGCTGTGCATGCGCGCCGCCGAGGGTTAATAAACTGCTACTCTGATAATTCTAAAGAAAGGAGTTGATTCATTGGGGATGTTAGGACCAGGTAAAGTGTGACAATGTTACCATACTCTGTTCACCGTTGAGTGGAGCTTCTGGGCATGAGACTAAACTACATGTACACAGCTTCATTAATACTGTTACAAAAGGCCATGGCATCTAGTTAGCCGATCATCGTTAATGTGGGTTCATGCTCACTATTCTCAAGCTCAAAAGTGTTAATTAACAATCGTTAGCACAGCTTGTTAAGGCACGCTAGTTAAGTGTTGAGAAGGCAATTTTGTTAATGAGCACACAAAACCTTAAAATAAAGTTTGAACCTCTTTTTTCTTTTGCTAGGAAAGTCCACTAGTTCACCTGAGTTTGGACCTAACTTAAATGAGTTTGTAAGAAGATTTGACACGGCCACTACTAATGGGCAAGGTAATGTGCAGTTATGCAATGATGGTTTAGATCACTCATATCCACCCCATTTTTAAACCACCTTGTGTACAATCCTAGAGGGCTCTCTGTATATCGAGTGCAATACTTCAGAAGTTTGCGTGTAAACACTCAACGTGCATCTGCAGTGATGGTTATAGTACTTTGGTCTGTTTGTTTGTGTGTTTGTCCACTTGCTATTCTGGCACTACAGGCTACAAGGCGACCAATGAGTGATACGAACGGTTTCGGGCAACAATGAATGGATTTTAAAATGGCGATTTTACTGGAACCACTGTGTTCAAGAGTTATGGCGTGAAACAAGTGAAAAGGCCAATGTTCAAGGCTTACTTCGACTAGTGACTCTGAGTACTCGCATCCACTCCAGCATTGCTCGTTACTCAAGCTGCTAGCCCACATTAGAGTGAGAAAACACCATCGTCTGCGACCGCGTGGCAGAGCCCAGCCCATTTTGTTCATGCGTGATGCAAGCATCTCCTGCGCCAAGAGTTTGCGCTCTAATCCTTTTTTATTTAAATTAGTCACCACTATTACAATTAGAGTCAGTAGGTTAGTGTGCTAAGCGTATTGCTCATCGAGGACTTGTAATGGAGAAGTCAAGGGGCGAGATACTTGGCAGGGCTGAAGAGCAGGTGAACGGGGTTAAGTTAGCTGCTTTGCTTGGTTACAAGTAGAGAGTTTGCGGAGGGGGTGATTAATACATGCTTCGGCAAGTGATGCTGTATCTAGAACTGGTACACATGGGCTGGAATGGGGGGAAAGAGTTGCTGTTGTGTGACAGTATGGAGGGTCTGAATTGTTTTAAGAGAGAATCTTTCTTAGAATGAAGTGTTCATAAGCGCATAAGCTTTCTTTCTTCACCAGATCTTTCTTGTCCTTGAATTGTATGAGGTACAACTTTAAATTCTTGAATGGGCTTATGTTATTGTAGAATCACAGTCAATAACTATCAGGGCGGGAGGGGGTGCTGGGGCACGGGTTAGTTGAGGCATCTAGGATGTAAAACAAACACCTCTCCATGCTCCTAATTTAGTGCTCTGAGTGTTTTGCTGCCGTTGAAGTAAAATTGCTGATTTTTTCAATTAGGACCCAGCTGGTTGAAAAACCTTTACTTTGCATACCTGCTTGTGCTCAGAGCTATTACAAAGATGGAAATATACTGGATCGGTCATCACTTTTACACTGGAAACAGCAAAGATGATGCAATTATTTACGATAAAGTCATACAAATTGTTAGGGCTGCCAAGTAAGTACTAACTACTATGTGTACTAAAAATTGCTTTTGAAGTGTATAGAATAACAGGTTGGTTGAACCGATGAATGGTTATAATTGATAGTATCATTGGAAGTATCCTGCTTGTAGAGCAATTGGTAAAGACTTTCCATTTTTCTGGGTCAATAATGAGACTTACATTATCATACCGAGTAAAACCTCATCCTACAAAGCAGCAGTATTAGATGTTTGGCAAAAGTCAGAAAGTACTCAGAAACCGAAATCGACCCTGACAAGTGCATGAGGAAAATTAGTTGTTTCCAACTCCAAATGTATACTGATTTTTTTTAGGCAACCGACATGTATTAAGGCTAGAAATGTCATTAGTCTATACAACGCTGTGCGTGCATGCAGGGTTCATAGATTTTGGTTGCCTAGGGATATGTTGCAGTACCTACACAGGACTCTCCTGTGTGGGTACTGCAACATGTATGTGAGTGATAATCAATTGACATAGCTGGCTTGGTTCATACATGTTCGGTTGCCTAGGGATATCATACAAATCTGTTGCACTACCCGGGTAGGACAGCATTCACCCTGCGAGCGAATGCTGTCCTGTCAACATGTATGTGCTATGATGAAGGCATTGCACTACGGCCAATTCAAGGTGAATGCAAAATGACAATAAACCCATGATGAATAAGTGCATGAACGTGTGTCAACAGCAAAGATTATACCACATACCGTTGAGCAATGATGTACAAACATAACTATGAACATACGTAGGTATAATGTTGAATTATATTACCATAATATTTCCTTCCAGAGATTGCTCGAATAGTCTGTTTGATGAAACTATGTTATTTACAGGCAATACATCTTACCAACTGAAGGTAATTTTTGTTGAAGTATATAGTACGTAGCATACCATCACTACAGTTACAACTTTATGCCTTCATGCACAGCAAGGGTTATGGTACATGGTTTGTGAGTGTATCCATCCGTCTATTTGTCTGTCTACAACGTTTTCTACCACTACACACACAAAGCAAAACCAACGGGTTCATTGCTTGATTCTTACAAATTTCACAGTACTTTGCGGAAGTTAAGACGTAAAGTTTGTTAGCCTGTGTCATACTCTCAGAAAGCTAGCACAAAGTAACCAGCTCATCGATCAGTGGTACTGACCTGCACATGCGTTCACACATGTGTTTTACTAGTCCACCGATGGTTTGCACTTCAAGACAATGCCAAACACAGTGTGTTAACCTCTTATACTATTCTTTACAGGAAGCATTTAGGGCCCATTTCAGAAATATAACTCGCATTATGGACTGTGTCGGTTGCAGTAAATGTAAGCTGTGGGGGAAGTTGCAGGTGCATGGTATAGGAACTGCTCTTAAAATTCTCTTCTCTGGAAAGAAAAGTACCAAGTTTACCCTCAGAAGACGAGAGGTTGTTGCCCTTTTCAATGTGTTAGGAAGGTGAGAGTTATAAGTAAAAGTTTGATAAGAGGTGTATATACCAACAAAGCAGTTCTTATACACATTTTTCACTACACAAAGCCTTATATTGCTGCAAGGCCATTGAGTTACTGTGTTCCCTTTAACTCTTGTATTATGTGTCCCATGCAGTTAGTATGCTTTAGCTTTTACTCAATAGATGTCAGTGCTGCGTTCATGTTACAGGTTTTCTAGCAGTATACATCTGTTACCGAATTTCCGAAACCTAGAGGTACGTCATACTAATTTGTTTCAAACACTAATGTGTATAATTCATGCAGGAAAAAGGGTCAACTAGACAAAAACAAGAACTGTAACTTTTGATTTTCAATTCAGTGCTGTCTCCACATGATATTTTTATGGCGATCCTTCAATTATCACTATGTTTTACATAGAAGGATAACATTAGGTATGTACACACTGCCATGAAGATTAAAAGAGGCAGGATAATGAGGTTTCGAAGTCTATCATTACCACCATGGAACTTGCAAAGAGAAATACTTCGGGCTAAATTAGTTATAAGAGTTGTGCAGCTGCCTGGGCTTCCCTACCCAAGGCGATGATAGCTAGCTAGTTGCTAAATAAATGGGAAAATTGCCTGGGTTTTACCTCGTGAACACATGGAATGTTTAGACTGTTGTAACATAAAACCCTCAGGCCTGTAGTCGAAGTCACAACTGTGCCAACATATCCCATGTGGCATTTGGGCCAAAACAACACTCCATGCTACACCAGTCTTCTGATGAGTTTGGTGTCCTGGCACTGTGCAAACTGGGAGAACCAATGGGTAGACCCAAAACAATTACTTACACACTTACTACACACAAGTGAATATTCAATGGTAATAGTGATGATGTATAGCTACTACATTCTCTTGTAACATGAATGAAAGGTTTGGAAGGCGGTCCAATACTAGCCGGGCAGATATACTCATTTCTGGCATTGTTTGAATGGTGGTTGAGGTGAATGATGTTTTACTTGTGTCCAAACCCAACTGCTGAAGTTGCTCCTGAAATGATGCTTTTTTTGTCAGCCCCTTGTTTTGATCAACAGATTGTGACTGAGCTAAAGGAGCCGTGATGAGACCAATATCACCAAGTTGCTCTAGTTCTGAGTCAATCCATGTTGTACGGTTAATAACTAGTCTTTCATTGAGAGCAAGCTGCTCAATAGATGTCTTCTGTCTCTCTGCCTCCAAAGACTGAAGTTCAAGACCTTGCAAGTCAGCATCCAGTGTGAATGAATCTGCTAAAGAGAAAAGGATCACAGTTTTCCCTGGAAAAATTGTACAAAAACGGAAGGCTTGGAAATATGAAACAGGCCAGGCACAGTGTGTCTCTGTCCCTGGAAGTCTAGCTAATGAGACTAGGAGGAGGGAGAGCCTGGGAACAAGGCCACACGACACACCAAAACTTACTTAGCAACCCCGTGGCGACCCTTTGCAGGTCCCTAGGTGCAGGTGCTTTTAGAGTTAACTATAAGCAGGAAACCCCCACAACACATGACTGATGCTTTGTCACACACATTGTCACATAAAAGGACAATCCTCCCTAGTGGCCTTCTCTCCCTCTCTGTCCAGGTACAACCTCATTCAGGTTCCTGATCCAACCTTGAACAAAGGCTATTTTAATGTCGGTATATGGACTATTAATGGTCAAAGAAGCTGCACATAGCAGATCAGCCTGCATAATTCCTATGCTTTAGTGTTATTACTCACTAACTTTCTTTCAAGTCTTCTGAAGGAGAATTTGGTAGGCTCAAATCCAACAGAGTTGGTTCACTGTAACTAGCAGTAGGATATGATACATCAGTTGGAAAAAAGCTAATGCCAGGATCCGTGGGTGAAGTTGGCTCGACACCTCCCTCAAAACCAAATGATTCCATTAGATCTAAAGCTGCAGACTGACCATCCATGACAGCTAACTGTGCCTGTGCATGCAACAATGAATGAATGAATGAAAGAAACAGTATGAAATGATGTCTATTCACCATTTACTTGGCATCAACTCTTTCCATGTGCTTAAGTACATGCATGTCGTGCTTTAAAAAATGACAGACCCCAGATGGCTAGAGTGAGATAGGCAAGCATGTATATACAGTGGAACCTCCTAATAAGGGACACCTTGGTACACAGGCCGCTGGCCCTTATTTGGAGGTTGTCCCCTATTGGGAGGTTCGTGTCAAAACTGTCATTGTTATGTTGTAATGAAAAGATCCAGAGTGCTCTGTTTCAAACTAGAAACACAGCTCTCCTACTACAGGAGTCCAAATTACTTGATAAACATGATATCCTCTGATAAAAGAGTCAAACTCTGCTGTAGAAAGTTGAAGCGAAGGCAAATGAACTGGTTGCGACGCTAGTCTTGCAGCAGACACTTCGCTAGTTGTGAACTCGCGTGGCCGGGGCTGGCATGTATCTAAGGTATGTAAGTGTGCGCTAGTTAGAGTGTCCGTTATAAAGGTGTTAGTGAGTGCTTCAGTATCCGTTATTTGGAGGTGTCCACTTCGGAGTGTCCATTAAAAGAGGTTCCACTGTATACACCCACTCTATGTACACTTACCACTTCTGCAACAAAAGCCACATCCGCCTTGGTTACAAGCTGCAAAAATGCAAGCAACTGACAGTTTGCGACATTGTCAAGTAGGGTAACAGATAACTCACAATAGGATCAACTTTGATTGAGGAATAGTAGCAGGCTTGGAGATAACTTGTATCCCATTTGCAGAGAGGAACGGTAAAATCAATGCTCTTTTGCAGCTGTAGGAGCCAACTGTGAGAAAAACATTTGGCAGTTGTTACTGATAATGATATGGGTGCTGTATTGGCTTTGCAGTAACAACAATGTTAACCTTCATCACACATACACTGTGAGGGTTATATAACTTTTACTTGGTTTGTGTGGGTGGGTCTCTGCTACCAGGTTTTCGTTTTCTAACACAAAGTGGCGATACTAACGGCTTAAGTGCTACACTGGCTTGATTATAATGCGAAAGTATACTGAGTTCAAAAGTTATGGCTTAAAAAACAAGCTTAACCAAGCCCATCAAGTAGCAATACTAGTGATCAGCCCATGAGTATGGCTGTAAGTATACTCATGTGTGTGTTTGTAGCACACCAAGGGTTTGCACTTTAGTGCTTTATAAGCAACTTATAATGTGCCCAGTCTCTTTGGGATAAGTATGGATTACATCTTTACGTGATTTCACACATATTTAGAATGATGAACCTGATGAAGTATACCTGAAATTCACATTAGATGTATCAGCAATGCTCCCTAATATGATTCCAGTTGGACATCCGAAACATACTACAAAAACCTTCTGGAGAGAAATTGGCACCACTGGTAATCAACAGGATCAGACTCAGTAAAGACACACATCTAAATGGTCCATGTACAAATTGGTGAGAATGCCTAACTTAAGTCACAGACACATTAGAGTGTGGTGAAGGTGTGGTGTACACTTACACTTGTTGAGACCCTGCCTCCTAAAACCTGTGAGACGTACATACATTAAATGCACCACTACTTTAATCTTGGTGAAAATACACAGTATTGTTTCGAAAACAGCCTCAAGCAACCCTGTCCATTTAGTTTCCCTTTTAACTGTGATGGATGGCATTGGGGCTTCCTTAAAACTGAGGACAAGAGCTGGCCTCTTCCATACCAGTCCGAGGGCAGTTGGGAGCATCACCACAACTCCTGTCCAGGGCTCCACCAATCCTTTCCTAAAGGTTGCTTCATAATCACTGACTTTGACTTTGTACTTCACAAATGCTGAGGATATGTGTGTGAGCAAGAGCGACTTAACTGTTGGTGGTAAACCATCACGCATGCCAGTGTCAAAATTCTGGCTGCAATCAAGCAGGACCTGCTACAGTAGATGTAAAGGTATGGCACATGATGGAAGCAGTGCCAACGTGTGGCTTGGCAGCTAACTTTTTGATCCGGCCAAGTTAAAAATAATAACACAAGCCCTTGTAAGGGTTGTTGTTGCATTACAGCAAAATTTTCTATTATAGTATACAATTGTCATAATGAAGCTACCAAAAACAAAACAGATATAAGAGATGACCCAAACAGGATTGCTAACAAGTGCTTGGATAAAAAAATGTGAACCTGGAAACATTCAAATGTAGTCCCCTGCCTTCCTCTGTATGTAACAGCAACCAAATACTTGCCAAATACTAACAATCACCTTTCCCCCCATTAACGTTGATGCAAAACTCACAGTATTATGACCAGCAAGCTTAATGTTAGGGTTTTCAGTATTTGGCGTCTGAGTTGGGGCCAATGGCATATGAAGCGCAGCAGTCTCATATCCTCCAAAGTCACCCCAATCTTCATCTCTTTGCTGCAGGGGACAAGGAATGATTTGCTTTCTCTATAACCACAGTGAGAGAAAATGAAGTCCTGAAGTAGGAAAGGTGAAGTGTTTCAAACTATGCTGTGCAGAGATGCCAGCAAACAACAAACTAGTGATGCATCTTTGCACTTTGTCCAACCACTGCCACTGAATTTCGTCACCACACCTGGCTGCTTTATGGACATAACCAACTACAGGACTGCCCATTGGCTGCTGTTTATAGACATACACTTAGATGAATTATTTTCCTTGGCACCCACTAAATTTTGGGTACACCTAGCAATGCTCGCTGTATTCTTACGTTGTATTCTTACGTTGTATTCTTACGTTGTACAACATGATTCATCAAGATAGTATTTTTACATAACATACTTGGTCTGAGGAGGAAGGTCCTCCAGGTGCAGATTGGAAACCTGACAGTCCTTCAAAGCCTGAAGTATCATTTTCTTCTGGCCGTTTCAACGAATCTAGGACCCCATGAGGTAAATGACCAGGATTTACTTGTAACTCCTGTTCAGACACACTAGATGTGTTCTTTGTAACGGTAAGGACAGGTTCAAAAGATTCACCTCCTGCGGTGGACTGTTCATCACTTGTAACAACAGGCGAAGCGAATGAAAAAGCAGAGAAATCCAAGTTTAGGTCTAAATTGCCATTTTCATTTGCATCAAACAGAAGCACGGGGTCTGAAACAACATGATCTTGACCGTAGGGTGTCAGTTCTTCGCTGAGGCTCGGGAAAGCGGAGCTGAAATCCCCGAATTCCCCACCGTCTCCGTCGTCAGCGGCCATGCCAGCTAACAATTGTGGAGCCACACCCACTGCGGGGCTGGGTGGGGCAAGCTAGCTGAGATACAGGATGGGCGTGGTTTTCATGCCCAAACACTCTCTGCTCTTTCTCCGCCATACACCGTACCGACCGCGCGCTAGTAGGGAATGATGGAAGAGGCTACCATTAGTCCCACCGCTAACGAAAAAACGGTTTCAATCGCTACAGTGGAGCCTTCGATTCACCTTGCTGTCACCGGCACTGTAACCTTTTTTGTGGGACTGCTCTTTTTTCTTGTCTACCTCCAGCTGTGTATGGTTATCTATTATGGTTATAGACTGCTTTCCTATCAAACTATATTGCTGTTTGACATTTTGTTGTGGGCTGCGCTCCGTCTGACTCTCTACTCTTTTTACTTCTACCATTGTTGCGAGCTGGTTGGCCGCCTCTCCCTGTTCTTTACGTGGTTGCTGGTTGCTTTCCCGTCTGCTCTGCAGTTTATAACACTTGGTATTCTTGTTCACTACTTTGGCGAGGTAAGCTATTGTCATATACCTAATGCAGTATTGCTCCACATGTGTTTTCTTGCTGCCCGGCCTATTTACTGTAGATAATCTAGGGGATATCGTGTTCTGTTCTTGAACACACCCTTATAATATTTACTTTCATTAGATATAAGCGTTGTAAGGGTTTCTCCAATCACTGGACTGGACTACTGGACTCAGCTTGGTCACATATAGTACGTGGATAGTTATATCAGTAGGTATATACCGTATGGGTTGGCTACAAGAATCACCTTCAAACAACTTCACACACCATGGTCCGGTTGACAGCCATAACATTCAAGAGCTGGTCGAGGTACGGCATTCATTATAATTATAGCTATTGCCTTTTTGCATGTGTTTTTATGCCTTAACTCTCGAGCAGGATGATTGTGCTTTTTGTAATGTCTATGCCTTATTAGTACCAAGGCTGTTGGTAGTGTTTGTCCGCCCAGCATATAGCCAGTGGTGTAACAATAGCAGTACATACAGATACAGACATCTGCATGGTCCCAACCCTTATTATTATTATTATTATTATTGAGACTTTACAGCACACAAAGAGACGAGATGTGAAAGGTAAGATGATAGCAATAGGATGGTAGTGCTGAGGGTCTGCTGGAGGTATACACCAGCAGCCTATGACACATAACTGAACAAAAACAAACATACTTAGAGATTAGTTCATAGGAGAGAGGTGTCAAAGTTGGGGGAGATCGGGATAGAGCTACACTTAGCACATGGACACAGGTAGTGGAACGAGCATGGATTGTCTGGATTGAAGTTTGTAATGAAACGATTTCAAAAGAGTTCGTAGAGTTTGGACCTGATAGTAGATACGGAGTGATCTAAATTAAGAAGGGGGAGTGAGTTCCAGAGGCGGGGAAGACAGTTAAAGTAAAAGTGACGAATGAGTTATTAGAAATAGGAGTAGTTTGTCTCAACTTGAAGTGCAAGGCTGAACGAGTTTGGCCAGAGCAGAATGTGACGAAACTAAGAATGTTAAAATGGGCTGATGGCTCTTACTGTGCATGCGTGCCAAGGATACTACTAGTAGTGCTAACTACTACCGAAACACCAGCCCCAGTCTTCCTTATACAATTTTAATTTCCGGAATCTATTCGAAAGTTAGAGTGTGAAACATTAGCGAAAAACCCGATATCCCTATGGAGCAAACCTTGACAAACCCTTGACTGTCCAGTGGACCATAGTGGCATGTAGTTAGTTGCTCAAACCATGAGTCTTGGAGGTGAGTGCTGTCCAGTAATCCAGTTGAGTGTTCCAGTCCCGTTAAAATCCTGACCCGTGCCTCTCTACCCCTGAGGAACCACTCCCTTGTAGAGGAGTCTGTAGGCAGAACCATCAGTTTTGTTTTACTAATCCCTCAGTATCTCACATTTTGTCATATTCAGTTTGTTCTTTTAAGTCATATTTATATTGTGGCACTAAAAGGCATGTAGTTTATATGAACAGCAAGTTTACCTGCATTTATACTGCCTTTTGTGACTAGACTAACTGTCTGTCGGCAACTTCTTAATCTCACATCTCGCGCTATAACATACAAAAAGAATACTAGCATACATGGTACGACAAGCACTTACCTGAAAAGTTAGAGCACTTTTTCTTTACTGCGGCCAGGTCCACAATGTTTTCGTGGTACTATGCGCATAAGCCTGTGCATAGAGAAAAGGCCTCGTAGTAGCTCCCACTTCCCATGCTCCCACACCCCTCTACAAGCACTGAAGTGCAAACCCTCAGCACACTGCGCATGGAGTGGGATATGCATTTACTCGTGGTGTAATAGCTCACGGAGAGTCTGACACAGGCTTGCTGTAGTCATTTCAGGAAAACCACTTTTTTAACGCACTAACTAGTAGGTCTGAAGCGGCTTTAGTATCCCTTATAGGCTGACTCGTAGCCTGTAGCTCCAGAATAGAGGGTGACAGACAGAAAGACAGACAGAAAGACAGACAGACAGACAGACCAAGTACTGTAGCCTTCGCTGTGCATGTGCGCCGAGGACAACCACAAAACCATCATCCATCTGACATTGTCCCCTTGATAATAGCCAATGTTATGTAGCTTAACTTGAAACTCTAATCTTTCCCTCCGCTTTCAAGCATAACATGAATTCACTTTTAACAGCAGGAGATAATGCAAAATCAAACAACTTATACTGTATGTCTGGTTGTTAACCTTTAAAATGATGAACTGTCATATGCTTCTCTTGAACAGAATTTGTATCGTGTGTATGAAAGAAGAAAGGAAATGTCTAGCTTAACTCCTCCCTACAAGAGACTAATGTCATATAGGTGAGTGGCTAATTAACCCTTGCTCACATGCGCAAGGTACTTGGTTTGTAAATGTGTTAGTGTGTCTGTGACTATGTTACTTGATTGTTAGTTTTGCGATATTCATAAAACATTTGCTGCATTTAAAAGTTACGGCGTGAAAATCAAGTACAATATGCAAATTTCCATTCTAAGTTCTCCCCTCCCACATTTTCCTCTCATAAAATGGGGTTACTGACCACATTTTGATTAAACTTGCCAGTTTATTTGGGTCCCATGCATTTCTATGCGGAGAAAGTGTGCATTTAATAGAATAGAAGTCACACACACATCTGTGCATTGTATGTGCAAATATTTTACACGCTATGTACAGTGTTTGTTTGACAAATTATAGGTTCCTGCATGTCCTGTTCCATGTTCAAGTAGCTGACATGCCATAACATGGAACAGATGACTTGCATTAGAACCTACAATTTGTTACACAAGAAAACAATTCCCCACATATATGCAGATGCATGCGCGGCCTGCAAACTTGTTCCGAATTTTATCGACCCCAACGCATGATTATATGCATTATAACAATGTCTAAAGTTATTTGCTTGGTCTTTGGCATGGTATTATTCAAACCATGAAAGTTAGAAAGTGTTGTAAGTAACCCTGCGTAACAATTAGGGCAACCTTTTATTGGCAAGTGTTTTACTCAACGGATTGAAGCTGGAATGGTTGCCAGCTGAATGATCCTGAACTATTTTGCCTGTGTGTGTATGCTTGGGTATGTTATTGTCTGTGTTTTGTGTGCTTGGGTGGGGGAGGTTCTTTCTTTTCCTCTGATATTATTCTTTTAGCTAGTATGCTATAAACATGTTTTTTCATGCAAGAACATTTGCAGACGTGTATTGATTTTCCTGCTATCTAAACCTTGCCTTCTCCTAGATAGCTGCTACATACACTCCATACTTTCTTAGAACACATAGCAAGCTGTTCAACTTATTACTAGTACTTAGTATATAGGGATGACACAGGTTGTCCTGCATTATGCCCATACATTTGAGAGTACATTTCACTTTCAGTTTCATCATCTGACACATCAGTCTGATCCGTATGGTCAAAAAAGCCTGTATATACCCAAGAAATGGCTTAGCCCAAAAATTTATTGCACACCACGCACGTGAATGCAGTAAAAAAGGAAAGGAGACAAGTATGTAAATAAAAAATTCTTCGAATTAAAAAAGTGTGGAATATAGGGATGCCATAAGAAGGAAGGAGACAAGACAGGGATGACCTAGTGCATGTGATGCAGTAGTAAGATGGATGATGGTGGTTACATCTTCAAACTTACATTTCTTTCTCGTGTAAATTTTACTCCACACAAGCCCTATATTTTCACCACTCTTACTCAAGACATGGTGAATGATGTAGTGTGAAGACTGGCAAAAGGATTCTGTATAGAAAGCAGTATTGCAACACTGGTTAGTTGAGCGAACATTGAAGTAAATACAGTCACGATTCAAAAGTGAGGACCTGTCAGAGAGGGCATCAGCTACCAGTCTTACGTGCATAGGAAACGAGTCATAGTCATATCATACATCACATGATAGAAATCACTCGTGCTTTGCGACAATATAGGGCTTGCGTGGAGTAAAATTTACACAAGCTAGAAATGTCAGTTTGAACCATCCATCGTACTACTGCATCACATGCACTAGGTCATCCCTGTCTTGTCTCCTTCCTTTTTATGCCATCCCTATATTCCACACTTTTACCGTGTCGGTCACGCTTAAGAATGTCAATTAGTCACGCTAAGGGAATGTCAATTAGTCATGCTTAGGAATGTCAACGTCCGTCATTCGTAACAAGTCTAGCTTCTGCCATGCGCGCAGATTCGTAGGGAAGTCTGGCTTCTTCGCGCGCAGTCAGTAGAGTGCGCGCACGAGTGGCCTCAGTCGGACTGTTTACACATTGGCTGGCTGGCGCGAGGCAAAATATGCGCGTGCGCATTCCTAGTTTACTTGTAATCTTTACTGTTTACAGTTAGTCTGTCATTGTGCCAATGGTGCAGTTCAGGATCCAGAGTCTTGGTTTTACTGCTCTCATCTAAAAAAGTCAGCACAATTCAGCACTTAAGTCTTTGGTTATAGTGAGTTCAGTAGAGCAAGCAACACCTGATAGGGGGCACTGGCCAGTAGCTGTTGTGAAGTGGCAGAGATGCTTGTTAACATAGAAAGAGCACACAATTCAAACATCTAGGTATGTAAGACTTGCTTCACGGATCCAGATATAGGCAGGAACAAGGCATGAGACAGCGCCATTACAAAATGTAGTCTTATGTTACCAGAAAACTTTAATTGCTTAGTTTACAGCTATAATTATAGCTACTAATGCCATGTTTGTTGTATCACCAAACAAAGTAAGAAAAGCCTGGCCTGCACTGCTTTAGGCCCAGTCTCAGAGGGAGAACAGCCTTGCCTATGCTACTTTAGGCCCTGTCTTAAAGCAAACAGCCTTGCCTACGCTGCCTTAGGCCTGGTCTCAAAGCAAGAACAGCCTTACCTATGTTGCTGTAGTTCTGAATGGCTGTTGCTCTGCCACTGCAGTAGCTCAGAGGTCCAAGAATACAAGCACTGAGAGGATGGTGCTAGTCAAGCATCATTTTCTGATTACAATGAACATAGCAACAAGTCAATAACAACTATTAACAGTAGTTCGCTCAGAAACACCTTTGGTATGACCTTCTCAATTCTGTACATTCAAATTGCACTGATAAACTCTCAGCTTAGTGCTTCCTATGCCTCTCTCTATTTACGCACTATAGCAGAGTGGTTTCAACTGCTGCTATGGTTTTGCTTTTCTTTTCACTAATCATTACAGGCACCTTTATTCCATATTACAGGGTCTTTGGCTGGCTGGTTTGGTTGGGCTCCATTTTATTGTATTTGCTCTGCAACATTGTGTTTAGTGTGCTTATTCATCTCAACTCACTACGGGACAGTGATGGAAACCCTAACCAATATTTGGTTGTACTCAGAGTTGTAACTCTTGATGGACTATTTCTGTTAATGGGAATCACACTTGCTGTCTGCATGTTCATAGTAAGTATATACGTACTGTATCTCACACTGTAATTCAAAACTGACAAGATAACATGCCCAGTTAAGATTTACAACCATATTAACCTGCTTTTTCATGGGTGCCTCTACCAGTAGATATGAGCTTCATGACTGGTTCTATGAAAACATCACAAGCTGATACATAGAGCTACATAGCCATGTACATCATACTACAAGTTTTACTCAGCCATATTCTTTTATAACTTTAGATGTATGCTACAAAACTTGGAAAAGATGTCTTGGAAGCTCACAATTTAAACAAGTGGAAGCCTGTCACCTTCTCTTGTGTCCTTTTTTTATTGTTTGTTTCTCGAGCAATCTATGATTTGATTTCTGTTACCATCACTGTTGTGAACAAGGAGGAGATGCATGCATATGGATTTGGATCTAGCTGGATGGCAACAGATATGGTAAAGTTACGAAGGTGATGTTATTTACGGTAATGGTCTTTTCTCACTTACAGGCAGACTATGAGTTTAAAAGGAAGTATGGTTATGTGTCATACCTATCTATTTTGTTTCTTTGGGAAGTGATTCCTACCTATGCAATTGTCATATTCTTTCGAGTCGCATTCCCATTCAGCACATGCAGAAAGCTATCTCCGGTTTGTTTACCTTAGTTAACGAGTAATGTCTACATAAAAAGTGCCAAATTAGGTTTTATGTTCTTTCATCTGTCTGTTAACAACTATAGTTTTTGTTGCTGAAGGGTGTTTTAATTTATCGTCTGGAAACTCCCTGGGTGTTCATTTCTTAAAGGGTTTGTGGACCTTGAATTTAAATGAGACCAGCGTTGAATACAATGTTGTAGTATGCGTGAAAACATGTCTCGAGTAACTCGCATGGTGTTTACTAAGTGCCCGCGGCGCCGTTTCCCTGCGCAACCCGCGCACGCAGAAAAACAAGTGCGCGTAAATTGGAGTACGTAATAAATAAGTTAGGCATCTCGTTGAAATCTATGCGTGTTAGACGCCCTCGGGCCCTTCACGTAGCGTCCTCGCTGCGCTCGGAATGCTACAATGCAAGGGCCCTCGGGCTTCTAAGGTTTCATGGACTCGCTGTCTAACTATTATATATTTTGATGATAATGACAACCAATAGACCAAAATTTCACAATCTTGTACTGTACACGCATGTAACTCACGTGTTGCTTGCCAGAGTGCCTTGAATTCGTTCATGGGGGTAGGCCATTTACAGCGATTGTCATCGATTTTGAACATAAGTCGAGTGCACACTCTATGTCTGTAGTGGTTTGATCAAGAAATGATATTCTCTGTGTGATTGAGAATGCAATAAACGGTAAGTGTTGTTAGCAAGAAGTTGGTGTAGTGCAGGCATACGTGTGCTGTTTTTGCATAGACTAGTTTAAAAGCTTGGCACCTCTCTAGACTGGAATGGATGGCTGCTATTACATGAGTAGGAATGATTGACAGTGGCCATGGTTATTTTTGGTGTACAGCGGCAAGCTTTTTCAGGCACACCTGAGTTGACATGTGTTCGCAGGCAGGGATGAGTTTGATACTGATAAAGAAGCAGCAAAGCTTGGGATATTGTTGAAGAGTTGATGGCCATTGGCAGCATTGTACAGTGCTCTACATAAAGAAAAAGGAATTATCACTTTTTGATAATTGAGTGATCTTGCAGCATGTAGTGAACATATCAACATGATCCCCAATGTCTGCTGATAAACCTGATGACAGTCGCATGATATCAGCTGACGTGAGTCCATTGATGAAGAGGCTCAACGCACTGGTGTGAAGCTGGTATAGAAGGGAGTCCATATCAACAAGGAACAGCATTGGAAGAGGTCGGATCCCTGTCGCACACCCTGATGGACATTAAAAGGGTTTAAAAGAGTGCCTGCCTGCTTTACAGCCCTCTCTGGGTCATGTACCAACTCCTTTTGAGTCTCTAGCACTTTCCATGCTTTAGAAGGTGCAAGAGTAAAAAGAGAAATTCAATGGCGTTCTCGAGATCACAGAGGCAGAGATACGCATCATCACCCACCCTCAAAAATTTGAACAAGGCCTCCTGGATAGTCATTATTGGACAGAACGGATCGCTGATATACAGTTTGTGGTGAAATATGGAAGTCTGCATCTTTCAGTGGCATTACCATGCAGCGTAGCAAACTCTAGACATTTAGAGAGAACAGAGGTTCCCTGTAGCCAAGTGTGTCACGACCCTTCCCCTTGTATACTAGGATGATCACACCCAATTTGAAACTGGATGGAATGGATTCGAGGCGGATGATGGTGGTATGGATCTGCAGAACCCAGGCCTGCAAGGCATTCTCTGTTATACTTTAGATGCTTTGGACTGGGATTATCAGATTTGTTGGACTTAAGGGACTTCACCGCAGCTAGAACTTCAGTGTCGAAAGTAGGATCTTTGTTTATGCCAAGAACAAGCTTTCGGATTTAGCGCCACAAAACTAGGCCATGAACCGCAGAGGCTGACGTCGTAATTCTTGCCGATTCACGTGGATTCAAGTGATCTTGACCAACCTCCTCTGGGTTTGCATTTCAGTGCTTTCCTTTAACCCTCAGCCGAATCCAAGAAAGTTTGCACTGGATGGTACTATTAGTATCGTTGCTGAGAGAATCTCTCACACGTCACCCTTTGCCGCCGTTTTCAAGGTCTGCATAATGCTATAAAGAGGAGGCCCTCGGATTATACATGCTGGTTAGTCAGGGCATACATCAAACTCAGGGGTGCTGAACCACAGGTTTTATTCATCGTTTGGGTCAAGCCATAGTTCAGAAGACCTCAAGGGTATGCAGGTCCACTGTCTGCTGCTACATAATTGTGTTGTCCACCCTGGTGTGTGCTGGGCAGTCACCTGTATTCAGAAGTGCAGTGACCTGGGCAATATAGTGTTTAACGTCGAGTGCGATTGAGTCGCTGCTGGCGGCGCGGTGTGCTTGTAAGATGTGCGCCAGGTATAGCATGCATGCATAGGTAGAATTGGCATCCCTCAAGCTGACTGAAGGAGTTTAGGGGATTTTCCACTCGCATCATGAGCAATGAGACCCCACCAGCATCTGATTCCTCGTCTTTCTTCCCCTCCAGCACCGAGTCTCGGCAGCCCCTTTCCTCTAATTGTGCAGGGAAGGGAGGACAATTAGAGGAAAGGAGATGGGGCTGGGGCTGAGACTATTTGCTGGAGGTCCTTCTAAAGGACCACACTGTTCATTTCTGTGTATATAGAGCTCTGTAGATCTCGCGTTGTGCGATAGCATGCACACGCGTTGTAAAGATATTTCAGGGTTTGTTTCCATGTATTTTGAATCACCCTTACAATAAAGGATGTGACGACTGCTTACTTTGAGCTCTTAAAGTATGGAATCCACTTCATTCATCTTGACAACCATCTTGTCATACATCCCAAACAAACTCACGAGTTTGAGAGTCGGACTGGACTGTCTTTGACTTTCCAATCGCTGCTTCGTGCCACCAGCTTTCCTCACACATAATTATTGGCCTGGTATATACTTTGTTTCAACATCTTTTGGGTTTAGGAATTTACTTTGGCTACGGAGTGTCTTCCAGCTGATAGGGGTCAAAATCAGACAGTATAATTACAATTGATACAGAGTTCAGCATTGTGTGCATGTCTCCATATGTATGTATGCTTTTCACTCTTCTTGACAATTCATTCATCTTGTGCTAGGTCTTCAAAACAAAGCAACAAAGCAGCCTTCAGCGTTTGTTTTACCTAGCTGCCACTAGGTATTAAAGGTAGTAATAAACAGGTGGCCTGAATTAGATGTCACAAACTCTGTTTCCATTAGGCTCTTGCTTTGAACACATGGAAAAAGAGCAGCAAAAAGCAGTATCAAGGGCAGTAGTATACAACTGCACACACATTGAGCTACACGTACCTTGTACGCACATTCCAAGTCACACTACACCACCTTGTGGTCGTATTACAACCATAAGGTACTTACCCCTTGGCAAAGAGAGGTTGTCTGTTTGGTATATCTTATAAGATACGAGAGTGTGTATCATCCTATTGTTAAGATGTTAGCTAGGGTGTAGAGTAGGAAATTGGCCACCACGGACTGATTCTGTATTCTTGAATGTTTTGTTTCACAGTGTGAATCTTTGATTCTTTAGTATAACAAAATTGTACCAGCAGTAATGGTGTCCGTAATTGATATGTTAATATTCTTTCTGTCATCAGTGCACTGTTTGTAGGAAGAAAACCACTAATAGTGCTGCACAGAGAAGACATTTCTTTGATAATCCAGCTCGATATGATGCTGAAACAGAAGATATAATACAAAGATCGAGGTAAGAGCTTAAGAATTTACCGTCGAAGCTTTTTCATTTGTGCCTCCCAGTGAAGTTTTAGAATGTCCACCAGCTGTATTTTACTCAAGCTAACATGTGCCTCCCAGTGTTGCTGATGTAATCAAAGTTAGTTTAAACCCATCTAATGCAGACACCAATGGGACAAAAGAAATTGTCTAGGTTGGTTAGGTGTCCCACCGTTCTTGGTGTCCTTGTTAGAAATGTGTCCTCATTTTTAGGGGTGTTCTTAGGAAAGGGGTTCTACCTTCTCTGGCGCATATGTTATCCCTTTGTGGAACCAGGAAGCATGATAATATTATATGTTGCATCCAAGGTTAAGGAAGTTAGTGGTGATATAGCCCTGAGCCCGAAAGTCGGGAGTCATATCAACTGCTACATTCCATGACTGAGGTGGATTAAGCAGTGTAAAACCATGGTTCTTATTCTGGCAAGTCAAGGGCACCCTGCATCTGTGCTTGTGGTTTGCCAAGCCCTACTTAGCCTCTTCTTTTATCTAACAGTCAGAGAAGGTTAGACGTGGTCATATGAATTATTATATCGCACATTGACTTGACTTTGGCTATACTCTGGTGGTATACAGAGTGAGTGTATATGCCATATGTACATACCACCCACATCCCTTTTAGCCACCCACAATCATAGCAAATTCTACTTTTTCAGCCAGTTGGCAATTCCTAATCTCTCTGGACCTGTAAATTTTTCACCATCAAGAGCTGGCTATGGTTCAACAAGTGGCTATCTTTATAGTGCTCCTAGCAAATATTCAACGAACAATGCACCCTCTCAGTCATATATGCCTGGAACAACACCACCACAAATTGTTCACTACCAGTCCTTCATTCCTTCAATGATTTTAGTGTGCCATTATGTTGTGTGTGTTTGTGTGCATTTTGTATCTTTATCACCACCAGTGATACTTTTTTAGAACGAACAAGACATCATTCATAACTTCATCCTTGCATTTTTCTATGTAACATGTTTTGCATGTAAGTTACTTACAGAACATGTAAACTAAACAGCTCATGTTTTCACATAAAGAAAGAGAATTAGAGGGAGGGGGACTTCACGAACTATAAACACAACACATACGTAGATAGCGAAAAACACACACAAACGAATACCACGAGTAATAATAAATAAATACATAAACTAAAAAAAAGCACAAGAAGGTGTGAAAGAAAGAGAGGATGGCAAACAAAAATGCAGGGTGCAGTCCCGTGCCACAGCCCACACGTGGACAAGTCATCTCGTGATTAGCCTCTCAACTGCATGTGTGCAAAAGTATGTACAGAAATAGACAAAGAGACAACAAAGGTAAGACTAACCAATATACCATGACCGAAACTCGTGGTCAATGAGGATCAGTAAGGGAGCTCCCCTGATGATCGGCCCTCTCCCCCAGTATATACATCTCTCTTTGGCTTTCCCTCAAAACCCTACTATAATGTGTTGCATAAACCACATCTGCCAAAAACTGGAGGGGCCATATGTGCTAGCTAGCTCAAGTGTACAGCCATGTGCCAGTTTTCATAGGCAGTAGTAGCAAGAGAGATAACTTCAGGTATATATAAATAAGCTAAGATACTCTAAGGGTAACCCATGGGAAGTGCATGATGGAAGAATAGAAAAGTCTTTCATCAGTACTAAGATAGAAGCCCAAGAATAGTCTAGGCATAGTGTGATATCTCTGGACTCCAAGAAAAAAGGTGGAGTGGCCTCGCCCTTTCGGGAGTGGGCTGTGTCGGGAGATTAAAGAGGCTGAAACATGCAGTTCACAATGAACGAACGGGAACTCCCCTGAAGACCAGAACACTCTGTAGAATAATAATTTACAGTAATTCCAGGTTCATCACAAAATATTACCAGTCTAGGCAGCTCTAAGTGAATGTTTTGGCCACTCACCCTGTGTGTGGACAAGTCGCCGCCTTATCTCAAGTAATCCTCATTCCAAAAAACACACACAAGCTAATGCACAAAGAGCACAATAAAGGACCGAGTATAATTGGTGTCAGCTATGGAAGTAGAAAAATTCCAGTACTTATATATAAAGTGAGGAGCAGTGCGAGCATACCTGGGTGCCCTGGCCTTAAGAACCAGGGATGGTCTTGAGCTCACACACGCCTTTCTCAAGGTGAAACTGGCTGTTGTAGAGTCAAATTGACAGAAAACACGCACCTCAGAGTTCAGCACTTAGCTTGATGAAAGAGGACCCTCACAGAAGTAAAATAATTATAGCAGGGTCAATGTAAAGAACGTTCTGTAGCAGTTCATGAATGTAATCAGATGGTAACGTGCTTGTAAAGGGAAGGCAAATCATCACATAAATCCCAGATGCCCTCTGAAACATGTCTCTTCATAAGACCAATTTAAAATTTTGTCTAATAAGCCTAGGAGTGATAAGGTTATGCTGGGCAAAGCAATCAAAATGTACTAGAAATCTGCCCTATTCTTGAGTGCTAAACATGTCCAAAGCGAGTAGGCACATTAATATCTTAAGTTTTATATTCAGAAATAAGCTGTTTTACTTCATGCTTGGTTGTCGGTGTAAATAGACAATAATAACTCGTACTGTAGTATTATTTAACCTACGTAGCTAGGAGGGGCACAATAGGGAAGTTTGTTTCGTACTGGGACAATTGTAGAGGCTCAGTATTGTTAATTATTGTAACTACTCAAAAAACATTTCCCTTGTACTTATAGACAAATACCATGCACAAAAGTTTCATTGGGGTAGTGAGCAGAATTAGGTGTTTATAGTGCAAGCATCTTAGTTAATAAATGCTTGCTCATGCACACTAATTCTATTATTGTTGCGAAGCATGAGTGTGCTCCCTCAATATAATTTGCAGTTTTAGCTTATTGCACAGTTGGTGCCCTCGCTGAAGGCTCCTCCGTTTTGAGTAGTGACTGCATTGCGTGCAGCCCAGTGCATAATTGCTTCAACAGTGTCCTACCATTTTACATCATTCACTCATGTGGCGAGTAATGATGAATTTACACGAGCAAGCGATGTCAGTTTGAAGTCTAGTCATCTGGCGAGAAAGTGCCGAAGTTAGACAAAATGATACTCAACCTCTCTACTACATCAGATCTCAATGACCATAATAAGTATGCTGTGCAGTCATAGCTGTTCAATTAATCTGATATGAATTCCCGAATTGAGAACGGCAAAACTCCACGTGGCAATAGCAAATGAAGTGGGATGTATAGTGATAGCTACAAGCACCAAAAAGAAAGAAACAAGAGGTAGTCACACAGCAAATATGAAAGGTCACTGTACTGTCAGGCCATCTAAATTGTTTTAGACTAGAAATTTAGAAATAGTACCAAATACATAACCAAAATTGGACAATCACAGTACTAAGATCCTATTTATGTTTAGCTATGATAAATTTCTTTATGGCCTCTAGTATCAGAGATAAGGGCTATTTATGGCCATTCTGCTTAAGCAAGTGCCGATCACGATAAATAGAAAAACATGTTGCACCTTTTGGGTATGTCGAGCTGCTACACTTCGCTAAGACAAACTGCTAAACATACTCAGTTGCAAAATTAGAGCTCAAGGCACTGCTAACAATGCACATGCAGAGCTATACAATCTCTCGTGGTTAAAGTCACGTACTGTTGTATTTAAGTTAATGAAAAGTTTATGGCTCAGAAATGAAGTGACAATGAAACAATGGCTTTGCAAATTTGTTTCTGTTTTACTATGAATATAGATATATGAAGAATATGATAAAAACTAATTTGATGCTGGCAAAAAGATTTAGTAACACAATGAGGTATATTGATGATTTGCTGACATTGAATAACACATCGTTTAATTCAGCCATTGATGACATATACCCAGAGGAGCTTAAACTAAAAAGAACATCTGAATCACCAACAACACTGTCATACTTAGATATACATATAACTATAACAAATGGGAAATATTCCACGGCAGTATATGATATAAACGGGATGATTTTAACTTCAAAATTGTCCATATCTAAGTTCCAATATTCCATCTGGACCAGCATACGGAGTCTATATTTCCCAATTAGTACGTATAGGTAGAATATGTAGTGATTACTCGGATTTTACGTTGAGACATTTCAAACTAACGGAGCGACTGATTCATCAAGGATACAGATACTCTGATTTGTGCAGGTCCTTTTATAAGTTTGCTAAAAAGCACGCACAAATTATGATTAAATATAGCTGCGCCATACGCAAACATGTGGAGGATGGTATATGTCTGCCAGCAATGGATAGGTTCAGTTTGCAATGCTGGACGTATTTGCTTGGTTCTAACACTGTTGTGCAAGGATTCAAAAGTATCAACTTTTCTTCTTGTTCAAAATCCATGCAGACCTGTTCATTTAAATGTTGAAGGTCAATCAACAGAATGTGACAAGGTACACTTTTCTTGTTTAGACTAATTTTGACACCAGATGTAATTGACAACGAATTGACAGCTTATCAACAGAAAATACACCTGTTCTAGCAGACACCACCATGTTGTTCACCACATAATACAGGCAGGCACCCCCGATCCCATCACACATTCCCTATATTGTTGCCTGGTGTGCTACTGTTATAGGGAATGTGGCATTTTTATATGGGCTAAAGGTTACTAAAAAAGCAAGCATTCTTTCACCGTGTCCCTGTTGGTTTTAGTAACATTTCTACTTTTATACTGCCACATTCCCTTTAATTAAACTCCACTTGGACTCTATAACGGTGTTGGTTACTCAGTAGCATGACTTTTTTGTATTAAAGTTCAGTGGTTCGACTGCATCAAACCTCCTCGAACCTTCTTGAACAACTTCAGTGCGGAGAAAACAAAGTGTGTAGGGGTCATTCACTGAGTATGGTGAAGGCAACAATATAGGGATTGTGAGATGGGATAGGGGTGTCTGCGTGCTCAAATCTGTTCATTAAACATGCTTCATTTATCCCATCCCTATCTTGTCTCCCTTTCTTTTTATACAATCCCTAATTCGCAGGATTTTTAATTTACTTGTCTCCACTCATTTTTATATACTACTATGTATATCTCAGTGAAAGGGGGCGAGCCCCCTATAAAGATTAATGATAGAGAAAAATGCCTGTTTTCGTCATGGAAATTATGTATGTGTACTGCCATTAGCAAGTTTGAGGAGTGAAGAAGTAAATGCCTGAGGCTATTTGTAGTTCTTCAAATAATGTGGTTGACACCCCCGATCCCATCACACATTCCCTATGGAAATGACATACGCAATTGTACCAAGTTTCATCTCTATGAGTGCTACCGTTAGCAAGTTTGGGCAGTGAAGAGTCCCTGAAGCTATTTGATGTTGTTCAAACAATATGTGGTCATCATGGAAACATGAAGTTGTCATGTAAATGATGTAACATGCATGCATACCAAGTTTCATCTCCATGCGTGCTACCGTTACCAAGTTTGAGGAGAAGTGGCTGAAGATATTTGGTCATCATAGAAACATGTAGTTGTCATGAAAATGATGTAATACGCATATGTACCAAGTTTCATCTCCATGCGTTCTGTTCTACCTTTAGCGAGTTTGAGAAGTGAAGAAGAAAATTCCCTGAGGCTATTTGTTGTTGTGGTCATCATGGAAACGATGTAATACACGTGCTCAGCAAGTTTCACCTCCATGCGTGCTACAGTTAACAAGTGAGGAGTGAAGAAGTCGTTTTAAAGAAAATTGCCTGAGGCTTTTTCAAACAATATGCAGTCGTCATGGAAACATGTAATTGTCATGGAAATGATATAATAGCCATACATACCAAGTTTCATCTCTGTGTGTGCTACCATTGGAAAGTTTGAGAAGTGAAGAAGTAAATTTAAAGAAAATTTAAAGAAAAGCCTGAGGCTATTTGTTATTATTTACAAACATGTACGTTATTTTTATGTTGGCTATTGAATACATCATGTATACAAACTTTCGTTCACGTAGCTCTTACCAATTGTGAGTTACACTGCCACATGTAGTATGCCCATTACAATGTAATGCCTGGGGGGCAATTTTGTTGTTGTCAAATAAGCACCCACAATCTCTTCGCATTACAGATATCTATGTTCCTACAAGTTTTATGTCCATACGTCATTTCGTTTTTGAGCAGTTCGTCTTGAAGAAGATGGAAAAAACTCCCTATCATAGGCCCATGCATGCTAGGTACTATGCCCATCCCTATACTAAGTAGTACCGTACCTAGTTATCTTCCTCAGGAGTAGCAAACACATAAACTTGCCATAGGGGGTTTGGTTTGCAAAGGTGTCATCATAATACTTCCCTTGAGTATTAGTGATTGGCGAGCGGGAGCTAGTGGTGCGATATTTGGCGAGCAAAAGCGAGCCTACAGTGGTTTCAATACCGTAATGTTCACTTCACTCGCAAAAAACTGGCAGTACGTCGTCCAACTTCGCATGCATTTGGATTGCATACTGCCTATGGGGTGCCTAACCGAGGCTGCCTTCATGGTTCGAAGATGCAAGC